ACACACACACACACACACACACACACACACACGCACACACACGCACACACACACACACACCTTCAACTACTGTCAGAGAGCCACACCCAGACTCTCTTCAAGAGCAGAGACCAGGGTCTGTGATGCCTTGTCACCCAGCTCACTACCTTGGGGTTGGGGTGCATTTACCTTCCCCACAGATTTGGGTGAGGCTGATGTCAAAGAGGCTGTGGGCCTCGAGGTCACTGGCCATGGGACCAGCAACCGAGGGACAGAGTTGGTGGCCACCAACCAGCCATCCAGCTGAGGGCACCAGCCCAGCCCTCATCCCCTTCTCGCAAAGGAGAAAGAAGACCTGGGCTTCTCCCAGTAGCTTCTGGGTTGGGGAGAGGTACGAAATGGGGTGATTTCCCCAAGGGGCATGGATGGGAGAGGAGATGCCAAGGCCAGGAGTTCTAACCGGTACCTGTTGGACCCTCCCTCAGGAGACTGTTTGCCAGGAGGCTCTTACCTGCCAGAAGACCGTGGATGCCAGTGTCTGGTTGGGCAAAAGAAGGCCGACCACCTGAGAGAAAGAGAGAGAGAGGAAAGGCTGAAAAAGGCAAAAGAAACACCCTACACTTTTGCAAAGAAAAATTAAACAGCCACGAATAAGAGCAAGCTGAATCTGCACAGACTGATATGGACGATGTGTTCATACAACCTGCTGCCCGTAGCAAGACTGTGCATGATGAAAAAACCCAAGCTGTAGCACCGTATTACAGCACAGTCCCATTTTTTTTTAAAGAAAAACATCTTATATAAAACCATATACACAAACACACATACATATCTCTAAGCATGAAGAAAAAGCTGTAGCACAGCATGTAGATCTGGTTACACAGGACTTCCTCACATTCTTCTTGAATATTTCTGCATTCTTTTTAACAGTTGACAGGCATTCTGTTCATAATGGGTGGGCAGGGGAACAATAAAACAAACAAGCAAACTAAACACCATCACTTCTGCCCAGCGTACCCGGCTCCTCCACACTCCAGCCACCCAGCAGGATTTTGTGAGGATTCAATAGAACTCATTTCAAAGGCCTTACGTGCTTTATAAGTACAAGCTGGTGGAATTTATATGTTATCACTGGGCCCTCATGAAGCAAAACCTACACCATGTTTAAGCTATTGAACGAAACATGGATGTCTAATAAATATTTGTTGAATGAGTGAATGAATGAATGAGCCATAGAGCTAAGCATGGCTACATATGTGTGGATCCATTATTCCCAAAGCCCAAATATCACTGAAGACCTAGACTCCCTGACTTTGGTTTTTTTTTGGTTTTGTTTTGCTTTAAGTCAAGATTAATTGTCTGATTTTAACACTGGCCAAACCTTGGACTTCAGGGATCCACATGTCTCTGTAGTTTACCTTTTGGGTGCTTGTGTGCAAAATAACACCTACCCAGTTCTGCTGCATATGGGAAAAAATGTGCACAACCATCCACATATTGACTTATTTATTATTCCTGTAGATAAAATGGCTCTTTGGCAAGAATTTCTGTAAGGAACAAGTATAAACACTCAATCCTATGCAGTAAATCAAATTCTAGACATCCTCAGCAACATTAGTAAATCATGTTTTAAAGATTAAAATGTTTTTAAAACAGTGAATATGCACATACATTTATATTTATTGGCCCATATCAGTTTGAATAAAATTATACAATGTAAAGGCATTCCATAGCTCCAGTGAGGAATTATGATATTTTTCTCCCCCAAATGAGATGGTAACTCCATTTCTCTTTGCCATGACAGCTGTGGGTACTGGAGTGGGAATCAGGAGACCTGGGTTCTCACCCCAGTTCCATCCCTGTGTGATCTCCGGCATAAACAGTCCCCTTTGGGGTTCCATCTTTCTTACCTATAGAGTGAAGGGGTTGACCTTGGGGGTCCTATCTTGGTTTAAATTCTATTCTCATTTTCCAAATAATACACATAAAGTCCATAGAGATAGTCCCACCCCAGCCCAATTGAGAAGTATCATGGGGAACACAGGACCTCCTTCTAGTTGGACCCCAGTCAGGAGCCAGACCATAGTGAGGAAGCTGAGCCTAGAAAGGCATGAAGCTGGGAACAGATAGCATGAGCCAGCAAATGTGTGTGTGTGTAAGTAGTTCTTCCCTGTTCAGAGGATATCATTCCCCGTAATCTGCTGGTTTATATTACGTGGGTGTGTTATGAACGTCATTGCCTTCTTTCCCTCAATCCCCATTGCACCCCCTGAACTGTGCTTGGCCACCAGGAGAGGGTATGATGCAGCCCCATGGGACTCACTGTTGGTACCAGACAGCTGTTGCCCAGGACCCTCGCAGCTCGTTACATCAGAGGGTCCCCTTATGAGCCCTCTCCCCTGGGTTCAGAAACCGTACTGGTGAGCATCTGGTTTGCATCGGCCTTGCAGACACTGGGCATTTTTAACTGTGGTTCCCTTTGCCCTGACTGTCGAGGTCAGGCCAGATCTCCAGGGCCCACCTCTGCCCAGTGTACACATCCTCATGGCACATATGTTCTGTCCAAACTTCACTCCTGACTTCATCTTCCCTTCCCTAAATTTCCTTTTGTCTCATTTTCATCTTCATTTGTTTATCTTGTGCCATGTCTTTTTAAAATCTGATATCAAGTCTTTTCCAGAGCAAACCACAGCCCTAAACTAAACCGGTACCCAGGCTATGTACTACACACACGCACACGGCTGTAACCAGCCGGGTTTTCACCTTGCTGGCCCACCTCCTACCCTCACACGAGCCTGACGTCCATGCACCTCTGACTCCTTATGCTTTCTGAAGGAGATGGATGGGTTTTGCTAAGCATTTCCCCTTATGTCACTTACCATGGTCCTTATTATAACTCTGGGGCTCAGAAAAAAATAGAAATTACTTTCTGCATTTTGAAAATGGGATAACTGAGGTTGAGAGACATTTGGTGACCTGCCCAAGGCTTCGTAGCTCCTAGAAAAAGAGGCAGGTCTTGCCCTAACCGGGTTGGCTCAGTGGATAGAGCGTCAGCCTGCGGACTGAAGGGTCCCAGGTTCGATTTTGGTCAAGAGCATGTACCTTGGTTGCGGGCACATCATCAGTTCAGGGTGTGCAGGAGGCAGCTGATCGATGTTGTTTCTCTCTCATCGATGTTTCTAACTCTCTATCCCTCTCCCTTCCTCTCTGTAAAAAAAAAAATCAATTAAATATATATATATTTTTTTTTTTAATTGATTTTTTTTTAAAGAGGCAGGTCTCCTGATTCCTAGCCTGGGAACCCCACCTCTCTGATTTGAGGGGCTCCTTCTCCAGCTCATCCCCTTGCACACAAAGGAAGAAGCAGACTCCATGCCCGTTTTTGAGCATCTTCTGTGCCCCACATTCCCTGCTGCCCCCTGAGGAAAGGAATGCAGCCTCCCTAACAACAACAAACCAAAAACCAACAGCAAAGTGCATGAGAAAGTCTTTACCACACCTGGGCAGGAAAGGGACAAGGTGGTTTAATCGGATACTTAATTGTGTCTGTAAATCTGATAAATTCTAATGTGTCCACACAGGGGTTCAGGCAGGGAGAGGTAGGTGTGCTCCGGCTCTCTCCGGAGGAGGCGGTAAGGTGGCGCTGAGGTGTGCGTGTGTGAGCTCAGGGTAGCGGAACAGCTGAGACTGACCTCATTTAAGGAGGAGGTTTGGGAAGTCAGCTGACTGGAGTCCAGGAAGGGTGAGGTTAGAAGGCAGCGGAGCACCATGCTGCATTTGGCCAGCCCGGCAGCCGAAGGGGGCCGTTTGAGCCCAGGCGAAGGGAATAGGGACCCCACCCTCCAGGCCCTGCAGTCAGGCTGGTGGGGCCAGGAGCACGCAGTGCCAGCCCCATTCCCTATTAGGCAACACACAGCACCATCTGCACAATCCCAGGAGCAAGAGCAGATATTTTATAACTTCCTTTTTCTTTTTAAGTCTAAATTAAAAATAAATGTTCCTTCAGCTCTCAGATGTATATCTCTGGTGCAACCTGCCCACATTCCCTCACGCTGCCCTTTCCAGAACATGGCAGGGGAAAGGAGGAAAGAGATGGATGGAGAGAGGGAGCCAGTCCACCCGGCTTCAATGCCAGTGGATGGCACCTCTTCCAAGAGGGAACCGCTTCAGGCGTGGCCGCGCAGATGGGTGGAGAGAGCCCAGAATGCGGCTGGTACCAGGGAAAGTGGAAGGAGAGCCAACAGCCAGAATTTCCAGCCCAGCCTCCACCCTATCTTGCCGCAGGACCTTGGCCAAATCGCACATCCTATCTTTGCTCCCATTTATAGTTCATAACATGGCTGGGGTCTCCTCCACAGCGCCCACCCCCTGGAAGCTGCCCCCTATGCACAGTTGTCTATTTCTGCCACCCCCTTCCCCTTGGACGGCTGGCCATGGGCCCTAGTGATGAACTCTCAGGCTCTGGCTGCGGGAAGAGCTGGACTCAAATCCGTATTTATCAGAAGGGCGACCACATGCAAGTTACTTGAGTTCTTTGTGCCTCCGCTATTTTTCACCGATTACGTGGTGATCACGGCTCCTCTCTGGATGTCATGGGAGCAGGCGTGGGAAGCATTCGGCACAGTGTCTGTCATTCAGCCAGTGCTTACCACCAGGTTAGTATGATTCCTCTCCTCCTGTCTCATTCTTTTCCCGTCTTTGCCGGTCTCTCTTTTCTCTGAACTCCAGTCTGCTTGACACAATTGAGCGTCATCTTGCCCCATCTTATCTTTGGACACCAGCCTTATCCCTCAACGGATCAGGAGCTCCTGAGGGTAGAATAAGGGCTTTTCTCCCTGATGTCCCCCCCAAGCACTCAGCACAAAGATGGGCCCGAATGACATGCTGGAAACATTGCCAACTGATTAAGAACATTAAACAGCTATTGGCCAGAAAAAGATGGATGATGGATCGTGACAACGACAACCACCAGCCATCTCTTCCTTGCCCCTTTTATTAAAGTTTGAATTGCATGGGGGCTGGGGGGGGGGAGCCTTTGGAGAGAGGATGCAGACCGAGTTTGGTTCTGAGTCTTCACGCTTCCCTGTATCTATACCCTGGCCATGAGAGGGATGTATTTCCCTGCTCTTGGTGTGGCTTAGTCACGTGACTGGCTCTGGCCAATGGCGTGTGGGAGGAGGTGGCAGTGTGCCAGTTCTAAGCCAGGCCCCAGAAGCCTCGTGTGCTTCAGTCGCCCTCTGGTGCTTCTAACGCTGCTGCGAGGAGACAGGCCCTGACTGGTGCCCGGTCCAAGGAGGATGCAACATGAGGAGCAGAGTCCAGCCTGGGTCACTGATCCCCAGCCGATCCCAGGACTGTGGTTAGCAGAACTGCCTCAGTCAAGCCCAGTCTAGACCAGCCAAACCCCAGATCCCTAACAACAAATGTGTATGACTGCCACTAACGTTCTGCGGCTGTGTGTTACGTGGCACTATTGTAGCAAAATCTCGTTAATACAGAGATGACCACATAGGAAGAGTGAATGTGCTGTCCTTTATGGTTTTAATGTTCTGTGTCATTAATGCA